TCACGAGAACTCAGCCCCCAACCAGTGGAGACACATAAGTTCCGAGCTCAACCCGGCTGATGAAGTTAGTAGAGGTCTCACAGTAGAAGAGATGTGTACAAACAGCAAGTGGCTAAATGGTCCTCAGTTTCTATCCAGGAGAGATGAATTTTGGCCTCGTGATCCTACACTTCATGAACCGGAGTTATCCGATGACGATCCAGAGATCAAACGTGCTCAGTCTAACAGCCAATCATCATCTGGCCATCAAAGTGGAGATATTCTTTCAAGTTTGATCGAGCGCCATTCATCATGGGAAAGATTAAAGAGGGCAGTGGCCTGGTTACATAGATTTAGAACGTGGTTCATTGAGCGATACAGTCGAAGACCAATCAGTACCAAGTTAAGAGTAGTGTAAATAGAAGAGTCCTGTCGGTAGACGAAATGAAGGAAGCTGAAAAGGAGATTATCAAGCACACACAGAGAATTTCATTTCCCGAAGTCATCCAGGCCTTGCAAAGGATTGGTTCATTACAGCACTCGCGTCAGGCAACTTTCGAGCTGAAGAACCTAAAGATGGCTGGGCATATACGCAAACTTCATCCGTTGCTGGACGAGATGGGAATTCTAAGAGTTGGAGGACGACTGGAAAACGCTCTAATCGACTACGATACAAAGCATCCAATCATTCTGCCTTACCGAGATCACGTGACAGATTTAATCATCTCGCAGCATCATCAGAAAACCGGTCATCTGGGTCAAGAGTACGTTTTGTCCAGCCTGCGCCACCAGTATTGGGTTTTTAAAGGACGATCAGCTGTGCGTCGTGTGATCAGTGGCTGTTTTCTGTACAAGAAACTTGGTGCCGTGCGTGGGGAACAGCTTATGGGTGATCTTCCAAAGGAAAGACTGATGTCCGAAGAACCGCCGTTTACTCATGTGGGGGTGGATTATTTTGGTCCTATTTATGTGCGCCAAGGACGTTCAAACGTGAAACTTTACGGTTGCCTTTTCACCTGCCTTGCTGTTAGAGCCGTCCACATCGAAGTTGTACATTCCCTAGACACCGACGGCTTTATAAACGCCTTGCGAAGATTTGTCAGTTTGAGGGGATGTCCAACTACCATCATCAGTGACAATGGTACAAACGTTCGTGCAGGGGAGAAAGAGCTCCGAGAGTCGTTAAGTGAATGGAATCAAACAAGGATTTATGACTTTCTTCGCCAGAAAAAGATCATCTGGAAATTTAATCCCCCAGGAGCATCACATATGGGTGGAGCGTGGGAGAGGATCATTAGATCAATTCGTAAAATCCTTAAAGCCTTGCTGGGACAACAACTCGTCACTGATGAAATGCTGCAAACCCTCATGGCCGAAGTTGTAGGTATTTTGAACAGCCGACCTTTGACACCAGTGAGTAGCGACCCTAAGGACCTAGAACCTCTCACGCCGAATCATCTGCTGTTATTGAGATCGAATCCAAGTTTGCCCGTTGGTTCCTTTGGCAAGGAAGATAGTTACAGCAAGCGCCGATGGCGACAGGTGCAGTACATCTCAGACATATTCTGGAAGCGCTGGCTAAAGGAGTATTTGCCAACCCTACAAGAAAGAGAAAAGTGGATGAAGCCTCGTCGTAGCTTGGAGATCGGAGATCTAGTATTGATTGCAGATGAAAATGTCCATCGCGGAAAATGGCCGTTAGGCAAAGTTGTTGATGTCTTTCGCGGAAAAGACGGATATGTCAGATCAGCAAAGGTTAAGACGAGTCTAACCGTTCTTACAAGGCCAGTAACAAAGTTATGCTTCCTTGAAGGACAGAGAGCGCCACATTGAATTTAGAAAAAAAAACGAACCCTTTTTTTCTCCAGAAGCTGTGAAAAGGAATTTATTTCATCACTACTAAGAATTCTATTTAAGGATCGCGGACTCACGCTCGTGCCTAGGTAGCGACTCTATTAATGAACTTTAAAGAGACTTGGATAGTTCATTGGGGCGGGCATGTAGCCACGAGAGACTGCGAGTTTTTTCCTGTTCTTTATTTTTTTTCATGTTTTGCGTTGCGTAAAGTTAGTTTAATTAGTGCCTTTGTTATCGCGCTTGGAGTAGTCTTTTGTTAGCCTTTTTTCATACGCGTATTCTTTCTGTATTCTAGTCTCGGCGTTGCGTTACGTAATCGTTATTGTCAATTTTTGTAAGTTCGTTAGGTTCATTATTTTCAGTCCAGTTTAGTATAAAGTCTTATTTTTGGTTCATGTAAATCAGTCGCTTAGTTGTATCCGGAGTTGCCGGACAGATCTTGTAAGTATAGTTTTTTCTGTAATTTTTGCTCGTTTTCTTAGTCATTTGTTGTACTTTAAGTTATCGTTTTTGTAAGGCTTTCGGTCCGCGTTTATTAATTCTGTATTTTCTTTTTTCTTTGCTGTAATTGTTCTAGTGAATCGAGAAGTAAAAAGTCGAAGAAGAAAGTAAAGTATCGAGAAGTAAAAAGTCGAATTCAAACAGTACGAGAGTGTTTTTTACACTCTATATTTGCAGGAATGATAATAAATAAGCCGGAAAATAATTTTAACAAATCCGCATTGTCCCTTACCAAAAAGTCGCACTGATACACTGTAAAACCAAAAAAAATAAGTGAAAAAAATTTCAACGTTGGTCCTCCGTTTATGCATACTTCCTTCAGCATTAAAGATGAAAATAAACCACAGGTCTATTTGTGCGAATGACTCAGCGGTGAGCTGATCTGAAAAGTTCAGTATATTTGCATGCCCTAAAAGGTAAAGATACGTACAAATATACTCTAAAATGCCAGTGAAAAAGTAAGAAGAAAATTTCTTATAATGATAATTACTTCCTTCAGCGATAAGCGAACTTCCAGTTACATGCCTTGCCATTATACGTGATGTGATTGTCTTTCTCCACGTTCACGTTCACGGACACGTCAAACAAAGCCGGTTTAGCTGATACAGGAATGGCATGTCAGTCAAAGTACTGAAACGGTGGAAATAAGAGAGTTTGCGAATTGACTTTCGACCAAAGATCGATCCTTACAGCCGGCTCTAACTTTCACTCTCCATTAGGAAATAATGGTAAGTGTAAACTTTCATCCCCATTAGGATTTTTTTGCTTACTTAACAAGAAACGCTTAATATTTCCAGAGTACATTCTAAGTGCTTCTGTGAATCGAATTATTTGTTAGGAAATCTGTGTCATTTGTTACTCATTCATGTAGATAGATTTATTTTGAAACATTTCGATCTCGACTCATTGCATTTCTTATATGGCCCTTGATATGAGCTTGGCTACGAGTTTCAGAGGGTTACTCCGTCTTTTTAATATACAGTCGACTCCCGATAACTCGAACCTTCAAGGGAAATCGAAAATAGTTCGGGTTATCGGGAGCTCGAAGAAAATGGCCGGGAGTAAGAAAAAAACAGTTTTTACTGCACAGTGAAGATTTTAATCACACTTAGTATAGAAATGTTAAGTGCAAATGGAAAGATACCTCTAGATTATAAATCAGAACGTAACGCAGTAACAAAACATTTCCTAAATAGAGCATGGGTTTTACTGTTTTAGGAAGTAAAGCTTTTTCCCATAGATTTGTAACAAACAATATCAGCCTCCACTAGTAAACTATATGCGTACAACCCGCCAATGGGAAATTCAAAATTCAATGTTGCGGACGCCAGTACACTGTTCTTTCCCGACTTTTTAAGCGCTCAAAACATGGTTCGAGTTATCGAGGGTAAAATTATATAGAAATGATCTGACTGGAAACAAAAATTACTTCGAGTTAGCGGGAGGTTCGAGTTAGCGAGGGTTCGAGTTATCGGGAGTCAACTGTGTATCATTACACGTATTTCTATTTTTCTCTGGCGCCTTCAAATCATCAAGGTTTGACACCTAATGCGTGCTGTATTTTGTCCGTTGATCTAAATAGATCCCTCTTCACTTAAACATAAACAAGTGTTCATGTATCACCTTGCAGCCTATATTGATATTGTCTCAAACAAGTTTAGGGGGGAAGAGAAATATGGAAATGTAATTGTTATAAATAGATATTCCTTAAATTATCCTTAGAGAAGTAGAGAGGATAAAGTTTCCGTTATTTTCTTTCAGGCTACATCGCGTCTGCCAAAACTCCTCTTATGTGCCGTTTTTCTTTTCATCATCGCTTTGCATTGTATGGTGAGTGCTGTTCAGTGCTTTCATGCATCATGTATATAATCTGTCGAACGGATTTACTGTCAGAAGTAAAAGAGTTCTCAGTTATGATCTTCACTTTATAATAAACATAAGTTTAAATATTTTGTTCGTCTATTTCCATGTCCTAAAGATAAGGAAATAGGAAAATTTCGTTACTTCCGCCTTTTCAAATCACTTATTAAAAACATTGAGACATTTTTTTTCCTTGGATACTTTTCAATCGGATCGTTTTCACTGTCACGCAACAAAAAAGTAAATTGGAAACCGTCCTGTGGAAGAAACCAAGAAAATGAAATGTTATAAAGGACTAAAATATAAACGTTCAGTCCAAGTTTCAGGTCTTTGTGGCCCACAGTTTCTGAGTTATTTGCCGAAACGTTCCATGCACCTTTGTAGAGCTTTGTATGGAGACGCCATATTGAGGTACCGTTTTGGTCCACCAATATGCCCTCCGGAAATCAACAAAAACATCTAGACTTCACTTTTTCTATAAAAGCTCCTTCTTTTCAATCGAGAACTAGCATACGTGCGCATAAACATATCTTCTAATTTTTGAAATGGTTATACTGCTGAAAATCAAGAGGAGAGACTTTTTTCAACGAGACAGCATTCCTATTTTGGTGTCACGCACCGTAAAAACTCGGAAGATCAAATTGCTGTATTTTCGAAATGAAATATGCTACGGGAATGGAAACTTGTACAAAGATTCACTTTTTGTTTATCTTCAACCTAGCGTAAATAAGAATTCGTAAAACGTCGCTATTAATTGATTTTACAATTTGATGACGTCACTGTGAAAACCATCTCTATAGGCTGAAAGATATGCATTTCAGTTCACTGAGGAGAGTGAATCTGTCAGGGAAGAAATAGATGTGGATCTTGACAATCGAACAGAATTAATCAGAGTTCCTGGACATAATAATAAAGCACCAATGGAAGTGATGAATGACTTCGTCGAGGTAAGTTATTTTGTTTGCTTTAAGGGACTGACCATTTGACTTTTGAGGGGCGTATGGTTGATTTCAGAAGGAAATAACCTGTAGACTGATTTCAAGGGGAAATGATTCTTGCAAGGAAATAGCTGGCGAGAAAAAATTGCCACACTGAAAAAATTTCTTTCAAAGCATATAAACTGAGCTCAAATAGTCGGTCCCTAAGCAAGGACGTTTTTGAGCGACGTACGTCAACTGGAAACAAGAGCCGCTTTCACCCTTCCAATCTGCCATAACGCTTTCAAATTTGTATTCCTAAGTGACTTTAGTCTTATGAAGACGATTTGGTCGAAACGGTTGGGCACAACCACTGCACTAGACTGAAAACAGACCACTTGGGGTTAACGCACGTCGCTCAAAAACGTCTTTGCTTTTGTTTTCAATTCAAAGACCAAGGACTAGAATCATGCATTCACTCTTTTCATTTATTTTCTTCCCTCAGGGTCTGACAGCTCGTCGTCTTCCATTATCTAAAGAATGTTACGTGTCTAAGTTGGACCCAGCTTTACCTACCCCAGAGAAGCTGAAGCTTGACATGGAACTGGTATGTTTGCTTGTCAAATCTAGTGTAACGTATCAAGGGTAACATTTCACCAGAAATTACCTATTGCCTTTGTTCTCAATTCTGACAGAAAAGTCTTTTTGTGGATTGTATACGCGAGTTTTCAAGATTAATCATGAACTACTAAGAAGAGTAATAACATTGTATAATTAACAATTATTCCACGAGGGCGCGTTGGATATGAGATGATAGATAGCCAACGAGGCGCGAAGCGCCGAGTTCGCTATAATCATCTCATATCCAACAAGTGCGAGTGGAATAATTGTTTTATGAAAAACGCCCACAAAATCTCGTTGGCACTAGAACAACCAAACCGGAAAACACAAGGGACTTCCGCTATTCACATGTCACAAGTCTATCAAAACTGTCAGAGGGTCTGAATGGGGGGTCCACTTGTCGCTTGTTGGTTAAAATTTAGTTCCTTTGTCGGTAGTCGGTTAAAATTTTCGATCTTTGTCGGTTGTAGGTTAATCTCAGTTAATAAGTAAAAATGCATGTTAATTATTAATATTGGTTATGCTTTTCCCTCAGTTTCAAGACTTTGATCCCTATAAAACATGTAAAAATTGTAAAAATGCATCATTTGATTGAACTTAAACTTCATTATGCAACTTGATAGTGTATTTCACCAAATCTTTTATTGCAAATGCGAACTTGGCTTCCCTGTTGATTACAGGGCACTATAAAAAGTAATGAAGAGAGGTTAATCGGACACAGAGGGAAATGCCCACTCTAACCTTTTGGATACGTAAATTATTTTTGGTGAAAAACTGCAAGGGGTGACAGGTTGCACATCTATACCGGCGTGAAACCGTGTGTTGACCTTTAATATTTTGGCTCTAACAAGTATGTTCTTTGCCACTGGTTTGGGAGTTTTCCTTTCTTGTAGGAAATAAGGGGTGGTTCTTTAAAAAATTAGCGAAGTAGCGGTTGGTTTTGTATGATATTCCACTTTTCCATTAAAGCTTCTTTTACAGTAGACACTAAGGGCTGGTATTGTGTCACGAAAGGCAACATTTCTTTCCTTCCTTGTTCAGTTTTGTTTTGTTTTTTGTTTGCGCGGACTTCGGTTTCTGTGAGTTTCATTTATTTCTGATTGCAATTTGTCTTTCAAATTGTGTTGGTAGCCTCTGTTCATCATCAACAATCAAGCGTTCTTTTGAATTTTGAAACACTTTCCTCAAACTCTTTTGACAAATCGGTGGGTGATAAGGGGCAAAATGTGTGCTGGAAGGTTTCCGTAGTCTTTACATCAAGGATAACTTTTTCGTTTAATCTTGTGCCTTTGTATACAACTGTGTCTAAAATCATTGTCTCAGTGAATTTCGGTGGTGAATTTAATAGTAGGATCATGTAAGTTTGCTTCTTCGAAGAAAGTTACGATGTCTGGTCTAAAGACGGTTTAGCTTAGACTTTGTGTTTCAATGTATGACATGAAAATGTTGGCAGAGGAAACTGCTGTCTTTGTGCCCATCGCGGTACGGTGGGTTTGTAGGTAGAGCTTTCCATTGATCTGGAAAGAATTTTCTTCGAGGGTTAGTCTAATCATTTCTCGCATTTAATGTGTAGGACTAGGCGGGTTGTAGAAATTTTTGGCATACGTTCTGCAAGTCCGATTTCAATATCCTCGTTTTGTGGTATATTTGTAAAAACACTTCTGACGTGGTATCTTTGGTTACTTACTAGAAAGGTAGAAAAAATACAATATACTCTTCTTTCTGAAAAAATGTAGATAATGTCGGTCCATGTCGGTAATCGGTTAATAATTTTCCTGTCGGTAGTCGGTAATTTTTTCGCGTTTTGTCGGTAGTCGGTAATATTTTTTGCCGTTTGTCGCTAGTCGGTTAACCCCATTCACACCCTCCTGTCAACGCGCGAACGGACTCGCCTGGACTGCGTAAATGGAAAATCAAAACATTGTAGCGATGAACATTAGTTTTTTTACAAACTCATCGGGATTCTAGGATTTTACACAGCAGAACAGCTAAAAAAACCTGGCAGATAATGTGAAGGAAAAGAATTTTTAAGTGACAGCAGTCGAAATTACTGTGAATTTGGATTTTCGGTGCAGTTATAAAAGTAAGAACAACGGAGAAAAACTATTACCTCGGTCGCTTGTTATGAAGTTGTTTGAAGCCACAAGCTGGTTTTGCTGAACGAGAAAAGAAGCTATACTGCCGCCTCGATTGCTCCAGTGAATGGCTGCATAGCCTGTATTTGTAGCTGGTTACTTGTGATTTATATTCTTGATGTCGGATAAACAAGCCGCAGTTATCTATCGGCGAGTGACTCGATCGGCGAATGGCTTCGCGATCATGAAGAAACAACACTTGTCTTCTTTCGTAGCTGGTCAAGGTACTTTAGTTCCATGTGTTTTCATGTGTTTTTCGACAAACTTTCAAACAAGCTCCTGTGGCTTTTTTGTTTGTTTTTGTCTTTTTTCTTTCGATGAAATTGCATTTCTAGTATTCTAAGAAATGAATCAAGACAATTTGATTCGGGCGCCGTTCTATCCTTCTCGAAAAAAAATCTCAGCTAACTTCCAATTTTAAACTGACGCGTACACCGACCATATATGGAGAGCATGGTATAATAGCTCATATACCATAACGGCTAAGCCAATCAAAATGCTAGAATTGCATTATCCAATGATTCAGTTTTTAATAATTATATATAGATACAAAGGCATGAATACGCGTCAATGACCAGACGTTTTCAATAGTGTTGATAAATTTCTAGTAACAATTGATTCAACATTTTCTGCAAAAAAAGTAAACCTTTCATTCAAATTAAAGGCAACACAGCAACCATTGTCCGATGAGAAAGTAATAAAGGAAACAGCCACAAGAATCTTGGGCTTTGCAGATCGGTTAGCATTACCGCAGAGGATTCTGGACTTTTGTGGCAGTCTTCCCATCTACGAAGTTGAAGAAGTGCCAGTGGAGGCAATAAACGCGTCTATGCGAGGTACACGAAAACAAACCTTACATATAATCATAACACAAACTCTGAAATGACCCTTCCCCCTCCCTCCCGCTAACTTCTTAAAAAAGTTCAAGGATACCGCACTGTGAGAGAACGCGCCTCCTTAGCTCTGATGTAGCTTGATGTGGCTTGCGATCGCGAAGTGATGCGAAGCCATATATAATAAGGTCTGGGTGTTCCGAAAGGTGTTTTTCCTCTTTAAAAAAAACCCGGTGTTTTATTAATGGTACATACGGCATTTTGCTGCATATTGTTTGTGTATTGTCTCTTTGTTTGTTTGTTTGTTTGCTGTTTGTTTTTTCTAACTGTAGAAAAGACTCAGCATTCTGTCCCAAAGATTTCGCCTCATTATCGTAATATTTTTCAGGCTATAACTACATGCACTTAGTACTTGCAAGTTCTTGCAAACATTTAAATATCTAACTGTTCATAGTATATACTAATGTCTAAAATGCTTGCAATCTCACAACTGGTTTTGGCTACTTTGAATCCCAATGCACGACACGATCTATGGGACCCAGCAACCCATCATAGGGACCATAAAGGTTATTGATTATCGATTTTCAACTTTAGAATTTATCTTGGCATAATTTAGGACACTATTTTAAGTTTTGATTTTGGATGTTATTTCAGTTCATTGTCCCCAAAAACCTTATCGGATAAATACTCAAATAAAGTTCATTTATTCACTGATTCATTGCCGTCTTCATTCACTGCCGACGAAATTATTCATAAAAAAATTGTTTGAAGGTAATTAAATGCCAAATCATGACGTCACAACGAATGTCATAGACAGGATGAGCTTACAGAAGTGAATTTTTGAGTTCAAAGTCAAATTTAAATCATGTTATAAAGAACTTAAGAACGGACGTATAACTGGCTACAAGTTTAGCATACAAATTTTGGACCTTAACTGCCTCCTTCACAGGCTTTTCCACGGATTAGTAGTGGGGGGATACAGAAAAAAACAAAGGGCACGATCGTTCACTTGGATCACGGGTTCTCTTTTCGCGAATAAATTGCAATGTTGCATGTTAGGATATTGGTTCCTTTCATTGCTTCAACAAACTGAACTTATCACATATACGAAGGTAATAGCGCGCAATCACACAAAACGAATTGTAACTAGAATCAGTAGAACTTAAGAGACGGTCCGTGTAAGAAACGACCACTCAAATTTCCGCGGAAAACAGAATTCCTTCATTTTTTTCTGCGACATAATTAGCCCATTCTATTAACAAAAATCGAATTTGTTTGGTTCATAGTGCTTTTTAAAAAAAATTTGGGCGGCGATTCGCCTGGGCGGTCCAAAGCTGTCATGATCGTCTTTTTTAAGGTCAAATTTAAGCGTTTTGTTCAAGGCTCGCAAAAATTTCGCATTTATCCAAATAGCATAAAACAAAAGTATGATTTTAATTCATGCTTCCTTTATTCAAAAAAGGCAAAATATTTAAATTCTGACCCCACAAATAGGAATGATGATGTCTTGAAAATACCACGTAAAGCGTCCTTGAAAAAAAGGCGCGGTTATCCTAGTTTTGAAATGAGCTTTTTTCAAAAGTCTGACGTTATCTGGAGTCTTGGTCACTATCCCTGTTCAGTACTAGGGCTAGTGTATCGAAATCAAGAAAAATATTTTTGGGCACTGTTGATTTCGAAGCACAAGAGTTCGAAAAAGTTGGGTAATATTTTACTGTAATTGTGTGTATGACGTAATTTACGCATTTTGGTGATTCCGAACTTTCCCACTGAAAATTAAACCAAGAGAGGAAATATATTAAAAAGTAGCTGTTATTCTTCGAGATAAACTGTGAATAGCTAACAATGCAACTAACTAAATGTTACAAGAAGCTAGGAATTGCGAAGTTTAATAGTCGAAATTATCGATTCCGGCGTAAGTTGTCAGTCGTCTAAGTTTACTTCTAAAAATCTGTTTACAAAATTTCATTGAATTGATCGTAGGTTTTCATGATCAACAAAGAAAGAAAAAGCTTTTCATTCAGGTTAAGCATATAATTATTTGACGAAAGTGAGTCCTGTATAAAAGAATTACACATTTTACTAAAAACACCCGGTAGAATGCAGCCGAAATTCAAATCATCTGAACAGTGTTAATTTCCCGTCACGCTGGCTACGCGTGAATGTCAGTTTTTTTGCTTGTCACGCATATGTACCTTTTTAATACGGTTGACAAAAAAACATGTTCTTTTCTAATTCGACTTTTCAAAAAGTATAAAGGTCTTAAAACGTCTTTTCAAGTTTTTGAAAAATAACTAGCGGTTTGTGCCTTAATGCGGCTGGTTACAGTCACAGCCGTCAAGAAATTCGGACAGGTTCGCTGCAAGAATTTTTTTTCTATCGCGAGAACTAAAAGGAATTTCAAAGTATTTCAACATGTCCTTGAGCATAGCAACGCTAAATGTTTCAAGTTTCTTCTCGTGTGAAAGGTCACGTAAACAGTATGAATCATAGCAGATAGGATGCTTAGGACCAAGGTGGGTGGCCACCTCTTCCAGGACGGCTCGTCTCTCCTGCTCTTCCTGTTCCGCCTGTACGTCTTCATTGAGCGCTTCCCGATGTGCTTTGCTTCTTCGCGAGGCCGCTAGCATCGAAAAAAATCCCTGTACTTGACCCTTAGTGAGCCAATGTTTCCTTTCAAACATCTGAGATCTGTCTGGGTTTCTTGCAGTTCGCATATCTGCTGCCCCTTTTGAGAGATCTGACTTTGATGCCAGTTCTTTTTCCAAGGTCAAATTTCGTTGTTAGGTACTGTTTAACCTCGGTAGGAAAACGCACAGCTTCGTTTCGGGGCTTGTTTAGAGCCCATCCAGTCTGCAAGTCACTGCTCTGGGGAGAGCGACCAGTTTCGTTCTTTTCGTGACGCTCCTCTCCAACTGCTTCAGGCACGCTTCTGATTTCTTCGTCCTTATCAACAGTACGAAATTTCTCCGCCCAGTCTCTTCTGAGCTTGTCATACACCGTATCAGAGTTTCGGCGAACTTGGCTGTGCTCACCAAAATCAAGGTGATTTCTGAGTTCACTGAATTTCTTGAAAACCATGTTACACCCGGGCTCATCAGAACAAGAGAAAAGACCGTTGCATTGTTCATTTTCACTGTTTGTCTCTCTCTTATATACTCGAGCTTCTTTGAGAGGAAAGAAGTTGTCATGCGCAATGAGATCAGTAGGACCTTGAGGTTCAGTTATGACCTCTCGGTAAGGAATAAACCTGCCCAGTCCAACACCATAAGCTCTCCATGCTCTAATTCCTTCCACTTCAAACTTGAAATTGTGATACTTGCTGAAACCTTCTATCCTATGTACTTCGAGTGTCTTTTGAGTCTCATTCATTGCGCACACGGAGGCAGTTGTACTTTGAACAGGGCGTTCTGAAAGCGCTTCACGCATGTCTTTCGCAGAAATATCGTCGGATGCATGATTTCATTGGACAAAGGATTCTATCACAGATATCTTTTCCATACTGCGGCTCGGAAAAGTCATACCGTGCTACTTCAATGCCTACTCGTCTTCCGGCATCTCTAACGGCGGCTAAGAGAAAGTTATTGTGGTAACAGCCTGCTTCGTCACTCCTTAGGTTCACTTGGGTAATCTGGGGATGTTCTTTCTTTACAACCTCAAGTGTGTTTTCGATGATCGAGCATACTGCCTACCAGTCTTGCTGGCAAGAGTCGAAGATATGAGCATACGATTTCAGCTCAATTTTTGCAGAGTCAACATTCTTAGTTATAAAGGTGGAAATATGCCAGCTCAGCCCCCGTTTGCCGAACCATTCAGACTGTTTCTCACGAAATTTTATTTGCAGGAACTTCATGGCCCAGTCCATGATCAGAATGGCTGACTGTGGGTCTTCTGATTTTAGTGCATCTTGTTTCGCTTCCTTCTGATTTATGGAGCGCACAATGTACGTTTTCCACAGCAAGATGTCTGACTGTGCACGGTCAAAGTCGTAAAGGACATCTTCTCGTTGTTCGCAACTGTAAGGCTTCCATGATGACCCTTCAATCGCTAGTCTCACTTCCTTTAGAACATTCTTCAGCCCTTTGCACTGCTCGCAAGTCGATTGATGCTGATGCGGACAAGGATGCTGGAGCTCGGGATCAACAGGATCACTAAGCTCAAACTTTCTGCAGTGGTCTGCCAAGTAGAGTAATGCTGTTGACAGTGCACACGGTAGTCAGTTTTAAGACAGCGTTTAGCATCGCGTAGGCTTTGGCAAATACGTACACACCACTGTTTCCATTCCTCCTTTCTCAAGAGTTTCAGCGAGCGTCTCGATAGTCTGAAAGCCCGCAGCACCATCTGCAGCCCTATTGTCTAATCCCTGGAGCGATTTACGCTGGGACGCTTCTCGAACCTCCAATATTTTAAACAGAGTAGACCTACTAAGTGGCTCGTCACATTGCTCTTTGCAATACTCCAAGTATTGCTCAATCATTGTAGAACTTGTCAGGACCCTAACAACGTTAGGCATCTCAATTCTGTCACCATATTTTCTAGGGCGAGTACCTTGTTACCATATGAAACATCCTGATAAAAGTACGGTTTATTAATGAATTCTACAAAGTGGTCGACCTTCCCCATATCAAGGCGTACGCGATGCTTCGTCTTGATTTTAGGGATGGTCCCAGAGCCGTGCATTTTTGCATGAGAACGGGCTTGCTTTATTTCCCATGTGGGGAGACTTCCGTAAGGTTGGTGAATTTTCTGAAGTTTGGTCATAGGGTATCTATGAGCGTAAAGGCTCAGAATCTGTTTCTTTAAATTCCTGGTCTTCAGGTTCATATAAGCAGTCATGAGTACCACAAGATCATCGGGGGCTGAGCCATCAAATAATTCTCTTTGTACAGACATCATTGACTCGAAGAGCTCCTCCCCGTTACCTGAGGCAATTACATTACATACGTGCAAGCAGTCCTCTTTAGCCTTTTTTACACATTTCAGCTGTTCCCCATCGCTTAAGTTTTGGAATGGAGTTTTAAGCTGATATTTAAGGGGCTCGCGTTCTACTTGTTGTTGTGTAGTAAGACTCGTAATTGTATCCATCGCCTCGTTATACCTGCCAACTGCATCGGTTACCACGGGTGACGTAAAAGAGGCCTCCTCTGACCCTGGAGTCCAGCATGGTGTTATGGGATTCCAGGAAGCTGGCGTTGATTGGTCTTCAAGAAATGGAGTCGAAGTGACCATGCGACCGATGGCTCCCACAGCAGCCTCTTTAGCAGGTCTGCGGAGAATAAAAATGGAAAGGCTGCTACTTAGTTGCCTTGCGATAGGATATCCTGACAGGACAACCGTGTGTGTGTTTTTTATAAAACAACAGCCAAACGACTACCCTCCCGACAGCACCTTTGAAGGAGCACATCTCCCTCAGTTTCCTCAGGGTATAGCCAGTCTGATTTCCGATCTAATTCTTCACTGTGTCTCTTTCTGCACGTTGTGCAAATAGCTAGTAACAAAAAGAAACAAAAAAAAGTTTTGCAACCTGGAAATACTTGTTAAAAAATACTATATTTACTACTAAGTTAATAAAAGAAGCTATATCTTTATGTCCCATCTTGGAAATTATATTATATAGGCTATAAATCAGCGACCAGATTTATGGATGACGCACAGCAAAGAACTATTGCTGTAATGAACTACAAAAACCAAACTATGATCATTTGATATGTTATTTTTTTGGAAATTATTTTCTGGTTGCAAAATACTACCAAATACGGCATCGATCGTTTATCGTTCACAAAATATATGGAATGGGACTTCCCCTCAGTCTACAGTTCGCTTTTAAGTAATTAGATTACGAACGAAAGTATTTAGTTGAAATGTTAAGGAAGACAAACCTTTTAATTCTGATATGTTAATTATAAAATGAAAGCATAAAACAGTTATAGTTGCTAGTCCATAGTACTTACGTGAGCCAACGGGAACGGCTTCTCCAAAGATATTTTTTATTTCCCTTGCAGTCTTGAAATTAATAACATGTGTTCCGGCTATTGCCACTTTCTTCCCGTGATGTTTTGGATACTGACAGGTCTTTGGAGCTTGCCAGTATTTTCCCCAAGTAAATCGATGGACTGGACAAACCGTCAACTTCTTGATCTGATCATCAGTGAGTTCTAACAAACCTGCCCTTGCCGGTATCAGATCCATTTCACAAACATTTTCCCTTGACAGGTGGAGATTCATTAGGTGTGAACTAATGTCAGCGTTGCAACTATTCAAGCACACAAAATCTACACATCCTCGATTACTTTCGCATTTTCCGCCTGTTATTGCGGAAAAAGAACAAAATGCTGCCATTCTATCTGCGAAGGTTATCTCGGCACAATGTAAACACGCTCTACGTTTTGTGTTTCATATTTGCATACGAAATTAAATTAAGTGAACGACGCCAGAAAAATTAACTTAAATTGAATTAAAAACTTGAAGAAATAGTAAACCAGCAAAACATTTTTATTCTTAAAAGTAGCCAGTTTTTTTGTACCTTGTTTATTTTACCTCGTTAAGCCTGATAAGTAGTTTCAGCTTCGATAAAATAACATCTAACATGTTTTGCACTGCGAACTGAAATCTGAAATTGACATCCTCTGAGACACAATATAAACGATGTCGTCTGCACGTAAAAACTTGTGGCTAGAAAATTCGGTACACTGTACCAAAAGTTCTGGTAAACTATTTCTTTTTCTGAATCGTGTCATAACTTTTGAGGTGGTAATTACAAGTTAAATCTATTCATAATGTATTTTAAATTTTTTACCGTTCTAGCCCCTTTATTTCAACGAAATTTCTTAACTGTTTAGCCACAACTTGACATAGCAACATTCACCGGAGCTGTTACTTTTTTTTGTAACATCCCAATTTTAGGACAATACGTAGTGGATTTTAAGATATTCACTGTTTGTCCCCAGCATTAAATTAGGTTTGAAAATATTTGCTCCCTGACAGTAATGATTTTTGGTTTTATAGTGGGAAAGTTCGGAATGAAGAAAATGCGTAAATTACGTCATACGCCCAACTTTATCGAACTCTTGTGCTTCGGAATCAGCAGTGCCCAAAAACGTTTTTCTTGATTTCGATACACTAGCCCTAGTACTGAACAGGGATAGTGACCAAGACTCCAGATAACGTCAGACTTTTGAAAAAAGCTCATTTCAAAACTAGGATAACCGCGCCTTTTTTTCAAGGACGCTTTACGTGGTATTTTCAAAACATCATAATTCCTTTTTTGGGGGTCAGAATTTAAATATTTTGCCTTTTTTGAATAAAGGAAGCATGAATTAAAATCATACTTTTATTTTATGCTATTTGGATAAATGCGAATTTTTTTGCGAGCCTTGAACAAAACGCTTAAATTTGACCTTAAAAAAGACGATCATGACAGCTTTGGACCGTCCAGGCGAATCGCCGCCCAAATTTTTTTTAAAAAGCACTATGAACCAAACAAATTCGATTTTTGTTAATAGAATGGGCTAATTATGTCGCAGAAAAAAAAATGAAGGAATTCTGTTTTCCACGGAAATTTGAGTGGTCGGTTCTTACACGGACCGCCTCTTAACTCCTCTTAACTTAGCCTGTGTTTTTGAAGTTTAACAAATGCCAATTTTAGTAAAATGAAAATGATCATGTGATATGTAGGACTTCACTTAAACTATTTTCCTAGTCCTAGCTCAGGTTAGACTGCCAGCTGCCTCTTTTTCAGTCAGTCGAGTCGACGCGTGGCAACATTAGTACGAGCCAAAGAACGAGGTGAGATGCAAAGCCCTTAATGACTCTTCAATGTTGTTGTGTATTTAGGCCATGGACGAGACAAGCGGCAAGCCTCTAGTATTCGCCGATCATCTTGTACCAACACAAACAGCCACAAGGCAGAAGTTGAGAAGTGCTTAAATGCCGGTAAAAAGCTTCAGCAAGAACGATGCAATTGGTATCCTCATAATTGCTATTACATCATTTTCTGTCGGCGTTCCTATAATGGGTATTATAGCTGTTCTTATTCGGGTCATGTGTACAAGAGTTATTGTTGTCATTATACTTGCAGTTTTGATTATTATGATGAACCGTGCATGGATCATTCCAGCTCAGATTATCCTGAAGCTTGTTAACTTTAGACAATTTTGTTCAAGCAAAAGTTTAAAGTATCAGTCTGGTGGTTTGCATCTGATACTAATTGCACTAGAAAAAGTAATGACATCTCATCATGTTAACGAATTTGCTGGGCACCCTCGCTAAACTGACAAAAGCAGTAGTTACTCGATTTGATAATTAAATAACAATTATTCACCGAGGCCGCGAAGCGGCGAGGTAAATTGCCACTACTAGCCACCGACACTGAGGTGAATAATTGTTTTAGTATATACTAAAACAGTGAGATAATTGAGCACAAAAATGGTGATTTTTAACTCATTTACTGTTGCCAACGATTACAATTTTGGCGCGCGATGACCGAACGGCCGAGGTCATCGCTTTTTCTTGGCGACAAACTTTTGAAGGCGTTTGTTTAGCTCTTGCGGGTAAGTTTCTTCAAAAGGAGTTGTGAATTGTTTTTGTATTTAAAATCATTCTGTAAAAAATATTATTAAATTTAGTTTTAAGCTTATTTACGAACACGTCAACTAAATAAAGTAACGCTAGACTTAAGCTTAATTTGCATTTGTAAACAAAAAACTTTTTCACCGGTTTTATCGATAAATTCAACTCAAAAAGACAAAGCTCTACCTGTTAAAACTTCCAAACCGAACTTCGTCACGTTCTTCATTAATTTTGGGAATAGCTTGCTTGATTAGTAGTGAAGTTTCTTGGTTTGTGACGGCAGCAAACCGGGAAGGCATTTTGCTCTAAACTTACGTGAGTTTGGCGTCGCTCGCTCGGAGGAACCGGAGGTGAATCAGTGAATAGTGCAGAATATTCACTGATTGAGTAGCCAATCAGAGCGCGCGAAAAACACTATCCACTGTTTTAGTTTCTACTAAAAGGGATTATTAAAGGGGCTGTGTCACGGCTATCTTATGTTATTATTCCCAATTACGCTTCCTTATGGGCTATGGAACTAAACATAAACGAAGAATAAACTACTTACAAGCGTCAAAATCACAATTTCTTGTCCAACAAATATACTTCCAAAGCATTGTACCAAACGTTACAAACAACTGAAAAGACTTCAAAAATCCATAATTTCAATCCTTTTTTATCTTCTTTAAGTTTGTCTCTCCGGTATCCGTGCCTTCTTTAATATACTGTGCCAGGAGTCCAAACATAGGCTCCTGACTGTGCTACTAATACCTTCCTGTAATGTTTTTAGCGATTATTTGACTTACGTATGTTTCACTCAATTTGATGGCAGCTCTCACTGATTGAATCTTGATAAAATTCATGACACAGCTCCTTTAAGGCCATTCTTTTATATATACTTGACAAAGTTATTGCTCATTTGGCACAAATATGGGTTTAATAGGTCGTTTAAACGGAGGCTAGAATGTTAAAAGCATGAATGTGAACTACGACATGGTTTTTATTACGAAAATTTTATAGAGGTCTATTGCAGTTTCTTAGTGTTGAGCGCGAGTGCAATCAACAGTTATGCAAGTGGCGTGAACTAAAACCGAAAAAAATTGTAAAGACACGAAAAGTTACCAAAACCAGAACACTATGCCTAACAATAGTTCGGCAACGCCAATAATTACAACCGGATTTATGAAGAACTTGCGAGCAGACAGACCAAAAGATAACCAAGAGAAGTTAGTAGTGCCTCGGACAGCTATTAGTTTCCTGAAGCCAAGGGCGTATAGCCAGCTTTTCGACTAGTTGTAGGCCTGGCTGACTTTCATTTCCACATATCCTGAAAACTGTACACATGGCTAGTGCGCACTGACCTCTTCAACACTTTGAGGTCTCAATCAAGCTTTTTAGCCGGCACCCCAACAATACGCACTTTATTACAAGCGGTAGGGAGCTCGTATTTCGTCCCTGCCCACAACGGCCTGCTTAACGGAGAACAACATTCCTTTCCCATTGTTTTATTTGCGTGGTGAATGACCAATCAACAGTTTTGAAATAAAGTGTTGACAGGCTAAACACGATTCATAAGCTTGTGGTGATGTAAAAACGTGACCCTAGAGTTACCGTTTCCCTTCTTTTCTTTCCATGCAGTGCACAGAGTATTCTAAACTCTGACTAAATCTTACTTTTGCCGCTCCAAGTCTAACATTTATTAGAGGTCATAAAGCTTTCCCGGTGTTTCATGCAGTAATTATCGGGTTACCCTCCGGCCAAGGTCAACTTTCCAGAATTTGGAAAGTACAATGTGATTGGTAAAGCTTGGGGAGGGAATGTTGCTTTCCGTTGAGCAGGCGTTTGTGGGGGGGGGAAGCTCTCCTAAAAAACGCCTGCATGGGAGGCTGGTCCGGCCACCCTTTGTATCCTTTCTCCCAAAAACAAAAGAAAGTTCTGTTCTCCTCCGAGTTCCTAGCAGCCAACTCCCTATGGTTAATACCTAACGTTTTAATAATAATTTTATTAATAGGCTCAGTTTTTTTTCAAATATGAAGTAACAATTTAAGGTATTAATGCATTTTTAATGTTAATTTCAATATTTGTACCGAATTTTAAGCTTTTTAACTCTTCCAGCTTTTTCATGTAAGTGTTCTTAATTTTTTTGCATGTATTTTTGGTTAAAACATAATAAAGACCTTATTATTGCATTGTAGAACCTCAGGCTTATTAAAAGGTTAACATTGCCTGGTAAATTACCCTTGGGAGCAAGAAACAACAAGTTCCTAAAGGTCCCAAAGGAGTCCTTACATTTGAGTCCCTTAATTTCCGTAATAGTCACTGTTCCTTTTTTACCTACTTTCGTGAGCAGCACCTCCTCGGAATTTCGTTACATACCAACTTAAATTGTTTTCTTCCCCACGGACACAAGCTTTCCCCATTCTTTCCAGATAGATATATCCTTATTATTTGGGCGTGGCCCAAATAGAGTAATGGCAACGGCTTGTTTTGACGCAAATGTGCAATAGGCACGCAATACGTGCTAACGTAAACAAGGCAAGTAAACAAGCGAAGCGAGGCAAATGTCTGCCATGCGAACGTCTTGTACAAGGTATTAAAGAGGCATGTGGGAAAGAAAGCTCTGCTAGCACACGGCACTTAAT